AAACATTCATCAGCTCTGTTTAACTCTGTAGCATTTAACGCATTTTTTTTAACATGCAAAGGTTTTTATACCTTTTCTGCATTTTTAGCTGTAAATGTGATTCCTTTTCTGTCCAAAATTTTGCCTGAGTATTCTGAAACTGAGCGACAATAGTTCATAAATTTAAGATTCAGATCACATTTATACCTGGTTAGAAGTGTTTTTCATATTTAGGTCAACTTTCTGACAACCTCTATACCTTCTAGTTTAGAATGCGTAAAGTTTTTTTTTAGTTTGGACAAAAGGTGCGACCAGGATTCCATGCCAAAATAACCCAATTTTCGTCAAATTCTAGCTCGATTTTGCCGTCTCCCTCGTTTGTCGAATTGTTTATGCTTCGATTGCACCCGTGGATGCGTTTTTTAAGACCGTAGTAGGAAGTATATGTTAAATCAGTCATGGATCCGAAACATTCCTTTTTATTTGGCTCCAATCGGAGAACGTAAAATTCCGATAAAAATTATTGATGCATCAGAACGAATCGCCAATCGCCCCGAGTGTAAAAAACTGTAAAAGTAAAATCGTAATTAATTAATGGAATAAAATTACTCGTGGTCCTAATTCATTAAAAGTCTCCAAACAGAACTAGAATTGCTCCGAAAAACTGGAATTGCACTCGAATATAACTAACTGTTGGATGTAGTTTTTCGGCTTACACTGTAATTTTTGGCGGTTTTCGCTCTTGTTGCTCTTAAATCTAAAATGAAAAATTCAGAATTTTCTGAAAATGCGTTCTCTGGTTTTCCTCTTTAATTTTGTAGCGCTTATCGTAACTTTTTTTGAAAATATGGAACGATTTTTATTCCTTTTCTGCATTATTTACTGTAAATCTGATTCCTTTTCTTTCCTATTACTTTTTTCTAATTATCTTTTCTTCTATTACTGTTTCATCTGTTTCCGGCCGTCACCTTACATAGTCGGCTTTTATTGTGTTTGCGTTTTTTATTCGGTTGTCCGAGTCTTTTTTTCCTCAAAGTTGCAATTTTCATCGTTTTCATGTCTCTCATCTGGTAAATCACTTCGGTAATTTTCTTATCACTGTATTTCCTTCAACTCTCTCATTATCTAAGTTACTGTATCTCGTTTTTTTTATTTGTATCACGTGAATTACTTTTTGGACCACTATTATTATTTTTGTAAATTATCTATTACAAGAGAAAGTTCAATGTCATCTGAATGTTCATCATGGTCAAAATTTACCTTTTCAAGTATTTGTTAGTATAGAATTACTGTTTGGAGTTTCCATAAAACTTTGTTTAAAATTATAAAGCTTCTTGAACTTTTATTCATTCGGTAAAACGTCTTATTGTCCGGTTTGAGTAAAAATAAATATTAAACTAAGTCTTGTCATGAAGTTGTTGAGCTTATTTTCTTCGTGAAAAAATGTAATGGCATCAATGTAAATATATGTTTTATATAATATAATTTAGTATCTTGCCTGAAATATTTGGCAACGTGATTTATTAATTATATCTACTTGACAAAAGATGCGATTTTTTTCTTTTTTCTTAATCAAAACCTACTACTTAAAATTGATCTTTTGAAAACCTCTGTTGTCTTACCATCCGTATAAACTAATTCAAATACAATAATTGTTTAAATTAGACCTAAACTGAAATAATTTTTTAGTGAAACTGTGATTAATACTTTCGCCAATTTTTGGTCTACTTTTTATAGAAACAATGCATGCAAAAAATATGCTTCAAACATGCGACACTTTCAGAGCATCAATTTATTTATTTACTTCGTACGTCCATAAGTACTTCTCCGTAGCACTTTAATGTATACACGATAATGCAATAACAATTTCGCTTAAAACAGGACTTTTACTTTTATTGACTGACCGCCAGTGAGGAAATCTGATTGACAAATGTCTCAAAGAACCGCTTGAGCCTTAAGGTATTGGAGAAAACTATTAACACATTTTTAAACTCTTTTGTTTAATTGACAAATAAGACGACTTGTTTTATGTAGATGTGTTTGTTTAAGTCGAATAATCATAATTTATGGTAATTCGCGTGCAAGAGTTTGTTATTTCGAATGTTTTCAGGAAATCATGGAAAATTTATATAATTTGTTATCTCTTAGTCAAATTTCATGTTTGTATATTTCCACGAATTTTCTTTATATGATATCAGTGAACTGCAATGCCTCTTAATGAGCGGTGATCCCATAAATTACTGGTCTGTGTGTCTGTTGATCTTTCCTGATGTTCTTTAATTGAAAATATTATATGCTTTTTGAGGATTTTAAAGATTAACTTGAATTAAAATAGTGTTAACTAAAAGCCATTTTCTTTGATTATAAATGACATGACGTGAAATGTTAAATATTTTCAGAAATGCGCATTTTTTATTGTCTTGTCGCAATTTTCAGTCAAAGGTTTGAAGATGTTTTTGGATTTATTTCAATGAAATCTGAAATTTCTCAGACATGTTTAATTTTTTTTAAGTTTAAAGATTATTAAATCCTCTTCGCTTTATTTTAATATTTACAGATTTTTATAAATATATGTTTATTTACTTGATATTTAAAAAAATCTATCTGATTTATTAAACGACAAACATATGTTGATATATGATTTTCCCATTAAAACAGTAAAGTTTTGGGCCGTGGAAGTTTTACTTGAAACTTTTTATTAATTTTTCATAAGAATTTTTTTTTAAGACGAATGAACTAAAAATATTTTTAACGAAATTTTACGGGGTTCAAGTAAAAACGAATTTAAATATCTTGAATAAGCGAAAAAATATAATTAAATTTGGCAAAATCCTTTAAGTTTTAACACCGGAAGGCAGAGGATAATTGACCAATACATACTTAGTAATAATATTAATAACGATAAAAGTAGCAATAACTAGTAGGATAACTAAGGGTAACACCAGAAGGCAAAGAAGGAATATTAAAAAGTAGCAATAAATGTAAAGGAATAAAATAGGGTAAGTAAAAAATTGAAAATCAGAAAGTAAATGATATGATTAGTGCATTTTTAGCAATAATATTCATGTTTAAAAACGAAAGTATTTCGCAAAGAGGTAGAAACTCCATAAAATTGGAATTTTCAAGAAACTAATTCATGAGAAAAACAGAGTCGAAAGGCCAATTTAAAGCAATAACAGCTAATTTAATTTGCTAAACTTTTTCTCATGCACATGGTTAACACGTTGAAAAGAGCGAAAAAATACACTTTTTAACTTAGTCCTACTTATTAGCGAAAAAAACATTAATAAAAAACTGAAATTTTTGAAATTAAAAATATTCGTAAAATATATTAAAGCAAATTAAAATCACCATAAAAAAAACAAAATCCAGAAAAGTTCCTATTAAACAGATTCCAATTGAAATTATTGGGTTTATGAAAGCTCCAATTGATATTTAAGATATTTAATGGGGATAAAGGGGTGATTATGATATATTTGATATAATAATAAAAACCCTGATAAAATGTTATAATTCCAAAAAAATATTTACAAATGAATTTAGATTCGGTGTGCTTTCTCAACCGTCTCAACCTAAACAATAAAGTTGCGTGCCTATGCGACTATTAAACTCTTTAGCATTTCGCTTAGCGAGTTACCGTTGACATTAGAAGAACTCCTAATTTTCCGTAAGTGGATTGAAATCAAAGAATTTGAAGAATATTTTTACTAAATTTGAAGGGTTAATTTATTAAGAGAAACTCGTACTAAAAGATTTAAAATTTTTATTTTATACTGTTGAGGTCAAAAGAAATGTAAAAAGTCTGTTAGTTAAAGTTAATATTAACAATTTCAAGTGGTAAATTCCCACATTATCTATGCACGTGGAAGTTAGCCTTGGAAGAAAGTGTTTCCTGCTGCCGGTGTGCAGACACGTCTGTTGTCAATGATGTCGGCAATTTGAACCCTTTCACTCTTGCAGAGATTCTAACATGACTCTGGGTCACTGCCAGCAACCATGTTGCCAGTTGAGTTTAATTTATTATTATTAATATTATCATTATTTTAACAAAAAATATATTATGTTCTCGGTCATAAGCTGATCTAGAAGTATTTACGTATAGCGCGTCCATCAAGCTCTTTGGAATAACACTCAGGATCAATTTAAGTAAAGCAGCATTAGATAAATCATTAAAAAAAATGACTAAAAAGGAGGAATAAAAGTAATTTGAAGTTTTCAATTAAAGCAAACTTTGCACACGGAAGCTCAACTGCCGTCACTCTTTCATAGCATTGATTCGAACTAACGCTAACAAAGGAAGACACTTTTGGATGTTTTAAAGTAATCGGTTAGTTTATTGATGTCAATTTGTTTCTCAGTAAATTTCTCTTTAAACTACCATTTTATGCAAATGTCGCAACTTTTCATGCAACTGTCTCAACAAACATGTTTGTTAAATATCCACTTTTTATGGCTCTATAGTTAGAAATAAGTGTTATTTGATTGAAATCAATGTTATAATATCAAAATAGTTTGTTTGTTACTTATTTTAATTTGTTTCTTTCAACTTATTGACTAAATTATTAGGACTTTACATGCAAAATATAATAAAAACATTAATAATACAGCTAATTTAAGGGAGTATTGGCAGAGGTAATATTAATTAAAGTAAACAAGAAGCAATGTTTGAAAAAAATTATTAAAATTTAAAAAAATTTCTATTTTTCAAACTGTTACTATAACAACCAAATAAAACACAATTTGAAACTCTAACAAAGCAGTTTAACATGAAATAGATACATTTAAAATGCAAGATGTTTTTGTTTTTTTTGGATTATGATGATTTAAGTGAGCACGCGTTTTCCTTATCACTGGAGCAATGGGGCAAATAAACACTCTCACAATTTTCTATTTTCAAATAGAAAATTTGTTGTTTATTTACCATCTTCAGTGTCTTAAGTATGCAATTGTGCAACACTGCGGTACTTAAGAAGATATAGTAAGAAGGCGCGCGAAAATACTACTAAGTAGTCATACTGCTCCCATCCCCACATCTTAAGTAAAATTATACGGGGTGTTGTCTCTTGTTTTGGCCATTTATATAAATCCGAGGTGGATTTCTTTGGTCACCGCATTCAGCGAGCAAAAACGCGAAGGTGCGCCCAGAGTCATACGCACCATGGCTTCAATTATTTTTGTAAGTTTTTATTTTTTGTGAAGATTAGTTGTGTCTTGTTTATGTAGCCGATTTTTTTTGCCAACATTATTTTTTACTCAATTCTCAATCAACTCCACATTTAATACATTTTTATTTTACTTACACAGTAGAATAGTAAATAGTTTTTCAAATTAAAAGTCGCTGTTTAAAAAAATGTGTTAACTGTTAATTTTGTTTTTCGATCTAGTTTAGATACATTTTTTGAACCATTTTATTTACCTTAACAATTTTCAATCAACATTTTTTTCAGGGCGCACTACTGCTTTGTACGGTTGTGGTTTATTCCGGAGCTACTTTTGGTGGGAAAGAACAGTAAGTTTAATTGATATTTTCACTAGTTTTTACCAGAATTAAACTTAAGCTTAACTTTTCAAAATTAATAGGAAAATTATAAACTAATTTATAACGATTAATAAATTATTTAGTTTTAGTTGATTAGAAATCAAAGAAAACAACAAAATTGTTAAAGTTAGATACCGAATAATTTTTCGCAAAATAATTATGCAAATTGTGAATGACTTTCGAAATGTTTAAATGCAAATCCTGCACTGCAAGCAAATAAAGTTTCCTTAACATTCATTTTTCAATAGCTCCGCAGGGTAAATCAAACACTAAATTTTGAAAATAAAATTAAACTAAAAAGTGCTCTATAGATTATAATTTATTATAATTTAAATAATATAAAATCGCCAACAACGAGCAAAAGATACGAGTAGAAAAGAAAATCTGTCACGTTTTCACTTTCCTTGCGGAAACTTATGTTTCGTTGCAGCTAATCGATGATAATTGTTAATTCCTGTTTCTATGATTCGTAACTTATAATTATCAAGTTTACAACACGAAATAATTAGAAACTTCAACACATGTGTTCTAGAGCAGCAACTTTCTACCAACTGCTTATTATCGGTTAAAGCAGTGTAAGTGATTAAAAAATTAATTAGAAATTAAAGTCAGTCGTTATGGCAAAACATTGCCAAATGGATAAATTGATATAACTTAAACGGTAAATTATAAACAGAAGCAAACATTTCATATATAATCTGGTGATCCCCAAGGCAATTAAGAAAGAAAGTTTGCGCTGAATTACGAATCAAATTTACGTGATTCTCTCACGGGTTTTTCCTCCCATTGTTGACTCAAAAGAAGCCCATAAATGGTAAGATACTTGTAATGAAGCGCCTTAAGAGTCATTATTAGCAAGGCATTTAAAAGGCGCTTTCTAATGCATTAAAGTATTTTTATTGAACACCAAATATGAACTTCTATAAATGTTGGTACTTTAAGCTATAACTTCGAGTTGTTTAATACATTTTTTGCTTCTGAAATCACAACGAAAATACAAGTTCAGTTCGGAGTTAAATCAAAGTTACTTTACTGGTAACTCAAGTTAGGAAAATCTAAGAAGAAGCAAGAAAAAGCGACATTGTTCAAAACTTTATGTTTTATTTTTACCGCAAAAAATAATGCTCTATGAAAAAAATGACAAACAAATTTCGAGAACACCGTATGCAAACAATCTTTAAAGGAAATATGAACATTTTTATTTTACAGTGTGCATATTAAAATCCACGTTCCCGAGCCAGCCTCCAGCCACAAAGTCGTTAAGCAAATAGTGATTCATGATCATGGCGGAGGACATGGCGGAGGAGGAGGAGGTGGTGGAGGATATGGAGGAGGTGGAGGAATTGGCGGAGGACACGATGATCATCACGGAGGAGGCGGTGGTGGTGGATTTGGAGGTAACAGCTAATTTTTCGATAGAAAAAATTCTCGGAGGCAAAAGGTTTTGAGGGGGTGATTCACTCTCAATGAAGTAGAACTCCCTATAAGGCAACATCAGCAAACTTAAAATTATTATAAAATTTTGGTTTTAAGGAGGTTTTGGAGGAGGATTTGAAGACCACCACGGCGGCGGAGGTGGAGGTGGTTACGGAGGAGGCGGCGGATTCGGTGGAGGATTTGATGACCACCACGGTGGCGGCGGATTTGGAGGTGGCGGTGGATTTGGCGATGGAGGATTTGGTGGCGGTCACAGTGACCATCATGGAGGCGGCGGTGGTTACGGAGGAGGAGGTACACTGCATTTTTTACTAGAAGCAAAAAAAAAACAAATTTTAATTAACAAAGTAATTTGAAATTTTAGGAGGAGGCGGAGGTGGCCATGGAGACAGTGTAACCTATACAATTGCGTTGAAAGATCATGGAGGTGGTGGAGGAGGAGGCGGAGGATATGGAGGTGGTCACGGCGGTGGTCATGGAGGCGGCTATGGTGGAGGTGGAGGATATGGTGGTGGTGGAGGACATGGAGGAGGCCATGGAGGTGGTCATGGCGGTGGTGGCGATATCCAACTAATTCAGTTACACGGTGGAGATCCTCTACCTAGTGGAGGTAACTGAATTTTGAGAAATTTTCAAGCAATAACTACTTACTTCTCCATCGCATGACATTTGCAGTTTTTCTCGATAAGATTGCGGATGCAATAGCTTAATGTTTCCCGCAATGAAAACCTTTTATTATTTTTAGGTGGAGGATATGGAGGAGGTGGAGGATATGGAGGAGGTGGAGGATTTGGAGTAGGCGGCGGCCATGATGATCACCATGGAGGAGGCGGCGGAGGCTTTGGAGGCGGAGGTTGGTACTTTACGGCTGTTCATTTTCAGTTATTACATTTAAAATTTTATGATATTTAACATTAAATTGTTGATAATTTACTACTACTTTCTATTTGACTTTTGAACGATTTCTCTTAAATTAAGGTGGATTTGGTGGAGGTTTAGACGACCACCATGGTGGCGGTGGAGGAGGATATGGAGGCGGCGGCGGATTTGGCGGAGGTAAGTTCTTGAGCAATTTTTGATGCCAATAAAATTTACTTTACATGAGCAAACTGAATTGCGTTCATACAGTTTCTTGTGTATCCGTAGGAGGAGGTTTTGGAGGTGACGACCACCACGGCGGTGGTGGAGGCGGATATGGAGGCGGCGGTGGTTTCGGAGGCGGTAAGACTTCTTCTGAAAATATTTTCTATTCAAAATTAATTATGAATTTCATTATAAATATGTTATTGACTGTTATACATTTTGTTTCATTCTAGGTGGAGGCTTCGGAGGTGACGATCACCACGGAAGTGGCGGAGGAGGTTACGGCGGCGGCGGCGGATTTGGCGGAGGTTTGAATTGTTTCTATTCTTAAAAAATTACTCAACACTCTTGTTTGGCTTTGAGAATTCCATTTTCACATTAAGTCCTATTAGTAAACGGCAGTCCCAAACGCCGTAACAGCTCGGAAAAACATTTACTTGAATTGAAAAAGTAAAGATGTTTCAAAGTTTTGCTAGCTAAAATGTATTTCATATTTATCGGATGACTGCTAAGTGATATGCTGAATTATGATGAATGATTCAAGATGCTGTACCGAATGCTTCATTTTTCATCTGGCCTTTTTTAAATTAGTATTTCTAAACAGTGCATAAACCCTATAAAGGTAGACAAAAAAAAGAAATATATTTAAAAAGCAACAAATTTATTAAACTCAACACCAATAACCATTAGCCTTAACCTTAACATTAAAAACAAATACAATCAAATTTTAAATTTAATCTACAAAATCTGCTTAAAAAAATGTTCTCGCTCGAAACAAGCAGCATTTAATTGGCTGATTCTGTTTTTCTTTAAAATAATTACATGAACACAGGTAGAATTCCACTAGATAATGAAATAAACAGAAAAAAAAATAAAACACTTAACAAGGCTGAAACAAAATTGTATTTTCAGGCGGAGGTTTTGGAGGAGGCCACGATGATCATCACGGAGGTGGAGGAGGCGGCGGCTTTGGAGGAGGTAAGTTTTGAAGCACAACTCGTGCTAAAGTAAAATAAATTATTAATACCTCAGATAAAAAAATAAGTTGTGCTTTCAGGCGGTGGTTTTGGAGGCGGTCATGACCATGGAGCTGGTGGGGGCGGATACGGAGGAGGCGGTGGCTTTGGAGGAGGTAACTTTAACAATTTCCTTAAGTAATAAGAACTCGATAATTCATAGAAAAAATTAAACCAGGCGGCGGACTCGGAGGTGGCCATGATGATCACGGTATTGGAGGAGGTGGATATGGAGGCGGTGGTGGAGGAGGATATGGAGGAGGAGGCGGCGGATTTGGAGGTCACGACGATCACCATGGAGGTGGAGGCGGTGGATACGGAGGCGGTGGTGGAGGATATGGAGGAGGCGGAGGCCACGGAGGTGGTGGAGGAGGAGGCGGACATGGAGGAGGTTGGGATCGGAAATAGCTCTACCTCTAAACAAGTTCTTTCAAGTCGTGTCAGTATTAATATAAATAATTTGAACACTCTAAGCGCATACTGGAAAATTTATAATTTGGACTGTCTACTAAAACATTGTTTGAGTGTATATTTTTGGTTTTGCGTATGTATTTTCAGGTTTAATTCTTCATATTTATAAGTGGTTCGCCTTAAAGTTGTTCAGATATCCCAAAAACACCACACTAAATGCTCTCTAAAATAATCAAATTAAAGTTGCTTAGGTCAGAACTACACTTAATGCCGCTGTAGCTCATTGTGATTGTATATTATACCATCTTTTTGTAAATATTAGGTTGCGAATGTGTCCGTTGTTATTACTTATATCTGTAAATATTACGTTTAAGGATGTTAATTATGTTAAATAAAATTATTATATTTTTTATACGAATGGTTTATTTATTTGGGTGGTGGGAAAAGGGTTTGGCGCCTGCAGGACTGAAAAAATAGTATTTCATTGTTCTTTAATAAAAAATAGTACAATATTGATTTGTAATATGTTGGCAAATTTTCACCCAACTTAGGGAAGAAAAAATCTCTGTAGAATTAAGGAAAAGTTAACGCATTTTGCTCAGGCAACATCTAGCAAATTTTGATTAATTGACTGTCCTTTGTCTGATATTACTTCTACAGATAAAGTTGGAAAACCTTTAAACTACTGACACGCACAATGGCAGTAAAGCGTATATTTCTAACAATTATGCAAAATACGTATTCTAATTGCAAAGAAAGTAAATTCGTCTCTCTTTGAGTAGTAAAAATGCAGAAAGTTTCTTCCGCGCAGTAGTTTGTCATTATGCTCGATTTAACATGTAATTGTTCCTAGAATAACATGTAATTTTCTACTACATTTCGTTGCTTGATCTATTCTGATTTACGGATGGAAACACTTTAGATAGACACGATCAATGATAATAGCAGGACTTTCTTTCGATATGCAACAATAGCAAAATTTACTTTGTTGTATACATTTTATTTTTTCCGGCTGTTTTTGATAGAAATTGTTGAAGGTTGCAAAGTTTACTGTAGTTTGATGAACTTTCCTGCTTATTTGCTTCTGTTAGCATCCATGTAATTTTTTGTATTAAAGATAATTCATTGTGTATATTTTCCTGACTGTATTTCAACTTAATTCAAAATAAATTCCTGGGTTCCAGTCAATTTTATTGTTTACTATTTAAAATGTCACAAAACGTTTCGGTGTTTTTCTCCTCAGTGGCTTGCCAAATGTGAAGGAAGAAACAACCATACATACAAACTGATGATGGTGGAGAAAAACACCGAAACGTTTTTGTGACATTTTAAATGGTAAACAGAAAAATTGACTGGAACCCAGGAATTTCTTTTGAATTAAAGATAATTCATACGCAAAATATGTTAATGATTAATAATAGGAATGGTTAGGTACATACTGAATAAAATAAAACTTAAATTCGAAAGCTACTTATATTATATTAAAATTTTTCCAGATGCTTTAATATTTGAAGAATTTTTCAATGTGAGCAGGGAATTAATTAATAAGCTCCTAAATTTCCTTAACACAGATGAAAAGTTATAAGAAAAAGCAAAAAGACTCAGTTAGACTTCGAGCCCATCACTTATTTAAACAAATTTATTAGTTACGATTAACGGAGCTATTTACAACTAAATATAAAATAAAAAATCATTGATTTAAATTTAATTTTAATCGGTTTAAATAGTAATAGTAATGAAAGTATTCCTATTTGATTTATTTTTGGGCATACTGAGGCATAATAAAAACACTTTAATACAATTTTCTGATAATTTAGAAGCATATACATACAAAAAAAACCATGTAACGTTTTGAAACTTTGTTAAACGTTTGAAATTTAATTCTGCAAAATTTTGCATGCATTAATCTAGAACACTTTCCGATTGAACATTTCTCTCGGAAGTCGGTGAGATTCAATCAGTCCGCAGATAGCAATGCTTCAGCTTAAAAAAATCAGTCTGCTGTTAATTTGTATGTAGAATTGCCAGAACATAATCAGTGCGTTAAAAGTAAAAATTTCAATTTTTTCTACGAAATAACAGCTTAATGCAGGAAATAGTTTGTTCTCGCAAAATCAGCCACAGCCCCACTATAAGAGTTAGTTCCGAATTTATTTATAGGAAAGTATAAGACGAGTTTCTTGATAATAGCCAGAGAAATCGTCAGTGCCGGTTTTCTTGGTCTTGTGTCTTTTCAAGGATATTTGATTCAGCATGACGCTTATTAGAGTAAGTAATTAACATTCTTCGTTTATCGTGCACCTGTTGCCCATTTGTCAGACGTTAAGAAATCACTTTATATTGTTTTGATTAATGGTCCTGTTTTCCAGTGTCGATCTATTATTGATTTGTTTGTTAATTTTGGATTTTTTTTTGGAATTTGCTACTTGATCTGGTTTTTTGGCTAATTTAGCTCTTATCTTATTATATAAGATACCGACAAATTTAAACAAATGCAAGGGTTTTAAAAAGTTTGTATCTAATAAAAGGTGTGTGAGTTTAAATGGAATTGGCCTTTCTCACGGCTGCTTTTTATATTATTATGTTAGTAATAAATTAAAACTTAGTTGCAAAAGCTGAAGAACTGCGTCAAATATTTTAGTAATGTATGTTTCAACTTACAATCAAGCAAAACCCGATTTAAAAGCTGATCTTTTAGAACTTATCGATGTCCAATTGAGCAAATTAATTATCTTTTTACAAATACGGTGTTTGCCAATTTCTTCCAAAGTTGTACATGTTGACTGATTGATTGATTGATTGAGACCCGATGGTAACGTCTTGATATGAAATGCAGATGCACACGCTTAGAACATGTTTTCTTTACAAAAAAATGCGAAAATTGTAATTAACACCAAATTTTCACTAATAGTTTGGCGAGAAAATTTCATATTTTCTACAAATTGCCGAATTGAAACGAAAAACTAATTAAAGATTCCTTCAGTTTCTTCAGCGTCAAAAAACGTTATCAAAATATTAATAATTCAATAATTATTTTAGTTTAAATGATCTTAATAAAATGGTTTTCCATATTTAGTTACTTCATAACTTTTTTATAAAATAATGCTCTAGAACATGAAACTTCATCATTTTTATTTGTAAAACGCGTAAAAGAGCTGCATTTTTTAAGTATGTGCTTGTAAGATCGTGTAATTTTTTCTTCTTTTTGCTTTTCTATTCGGTATCATATTTAAATACTTTTTGAGAGTTTATTTTCATATCAGTCCTGACACTGTTAGCAACTTTTCTATTTGCTTGAATTATTTATCTTTTCTTATTGCGCTTAATGTAAATTTTTAAATTTTAACAAATTCTTAGGTTGATTTCTATATAATTTTAAGAGTAACTTTAAGAGAGAAATATGATTAATGCTATTTCACTAGCAAAATAATATTTTTGCAAACTCACGACTTTTTACATTCCCACATTTCGTGTGGCAGTGAATTGTTAATTACATATGTGTTTCACTTTTAGTATCTAAATCTCTATCGATCAAATTCGCAAGAGAATTGCTAATTTAATTTAAAGATGTTGGCACTGTACATGAAGAAAGAAAGGCAGTTGAGATGTTGTTTTACCAGTAAAAGCTAAATGCTTGATCTTTTACATTTTCAAGTGATTAATTAGTTAGATAGAAATATGTGTTCGTCCATTTAATTAAAGCACTAAAATTGAAAATGGACGAAAGACAATTGATATTGGTAATGGCTAAAGTGGATTACTACAAGTATCTAATATTCAATTTATTTCAGTTTATGAATGATTGGATTTCGAAGTATTTACTAGGACAGGTTTAACTAAGCCCGAAATTTATTCTCTCATAGAACTCGGTCTTAATCAAATGTACTATAAATAATTTTCGTTATATCATAAATACTTACGCCTTACGCTTCAAATGATATAAGAAAAACATGTTGGGCAAATTTTGTTTCTAAAGCATATGCGAAAGAGCGACGATTTCGATTCGATTCTATTATCGTCTATGCACAATATGTATTTTTTAAATCTTGCAACTGATTTAGTTGTAGTAAAAATGTTTATTTGTTAGCAAATGCTATCGGTCTTTTTGCCCTGGGTTAATTACAGAGTTTTGTAAGTAAAATTAATAAATAATGTATATAATGTGCTTAATAAATAAGTATATAATTTAGATATGGACTGATTTAATAGTTTTGCTTCTTTGATATTTCTCTGTTAGTTTAAGAACGATCTTCATTGCTGCCTAGCTCAAATAAACAGAGCTAAAAGCGGCATAAAGCAAAAATAAATTTGAATAAAACCGAAAGACCTGTATAGGTCGATAGCGCTTTTGCATAACAAATAAAGGTTATTTACTGCAACTTCTATTATATTTGAAGATCATTGCAAAATAACTAGCAAGAAGCAGTTCTAGGGTATAGATTTTGGAGAGTTACTTAAAAAACCAAATTTATTAATTTCATATCTATTACTAAATTTTGTTGTTATGCGTTTCCTGAAAACAAACTTTTCTTATTTCTTATATGATTTTTAGGTAATTTTTATGGCAACTGTGGGCTTTGCTGTGGTAAATTCACTGCCTGCAGGTGGATCATACCAGTAAGTACAAACATTCACATTAGACCTAAAACTGAGATTCAAACAGTCCACAAATTAAGTGATAGTTTAGAAACCATGGCATAATTAAAAAGCAGGAAATTATCTAAAAAAACTCTGCTTGCTGAAGAAGTATAACTATTATCGAACAATAATTAAAAGAGATCAATCTAGAGACAAATAAAAATTCAACTAATCAACTAAGGAACAATTAAAATTAACTAGGCAAGATTGCGAAAGTGCAATGAAATCAACATATTTATCTTATTATTATTTCACTATTCCAATATGAAAAAAAAACTGATCTTAGAGCGTGACTGATCTTAGTGAGAATCTTAACATTTATATTAATTCAATGTAATTTCAACTAACTTCAAAGAAGTGGAGAAGATCATGCAGTAAAAACCATAAACTTTTTAGTAACTTAAGCTACTTTAAACATTTTTCAAATATGCAGAAGCAATAACAACACAGACACTTTCTTTTAGCGAAAGTTATTGCACATATTACGCAACAATTGACAAATCCCTTCATTGAAATTAATAATGTGACCATTTTTAACAAGACCAGGCAACATATGGCAAGCGTAAGATTGACTTCTTCCACTTCAATGTTAATGTTAATATTTCGAATTGATGCTGTTGCCTATCGGTAATGGGTAGGTAAATTTGTAAAACGAGTCATTATATTTTTGTTATTGACTACGTAGCGAGAGTTGGGTTTTCTAAATACATGAATTAACTAAATAAATTGGAAAATTTTCTCCTAAGTGGTTATTGAAATTGCCAAACAACATCTTCAGTTTATTGGCTTGTTATTCGTTACATATACTTATGTGAAAATGGGTAGAAAGTAAATTGGAAAGTAAGAGAATAGAAAATAGAAAAATGCACCAACAAAAAAAAGTAAACGAGATCTATGCGGTTTTTGATACTATCCGAACTAGAATCGACGTTTCTGCCTAATTAAGTGGCAAAAGCATTAAATTCACTGATTGTATTGTCGATATTTTCATTTAATTTTGAAACATTAAAAATAACTTGAAGTTTCACAAAATATCTTGACAAATTATTGCAAAAATAAAGTTAAATTTCCCCAGTTAACTTCGGTAGATGAAAATAACTAAAGCGATACTCGTTCACGCTCAGGGCCCAAAAACCGAAAGCAACAATTGTTCTATATATTTCAAGCTATTAAAGCTAATCATGATATATTCAATATGGTTCGTAAAAAATTTAAATCTATATAAAATTCAGATAAACAGAGGAACAAAATTATGAAGTTCCATGTTGTTTACCCAGACGAAGTTAGGTCTTATTCGTAATAAGGATTCTTGCTCAAGCAAATGAATCCAATTAAATGCCCGTATTTTTGTCTCCAAAAAAATGTTTCAGACATAATACCAATATTATTAAAAAAAATTCCATTGTATCTTTTCAAAGATTTTTAAAGAAAGTTATTTCGGCTACTTTAAAAATGATGTGCGAAAACACACTTGTGGCCACAATGTCTTCTGACCCAATATGTGTAACTTTGCCTAAAGATTTTTCTTCTAAGAACTTGCTATAGAAATTCCTGAACGGCCTTAAAACCATCGGAATGGTCCTATAAAGAACGCAAAGCGACATTCTTTACATGTTTAATGATATTTTTAACCAAATAATTGGAAATGGTCTCGAAATGCTTATCCTTATTTGCCTTTAAATGTTTACGTAACTTTAGTAACTCGGTCATTTCACTTTAACGCTTACCATTTCGATTATCAACAGATTTCAAAATTTGGAAAGGAGAATCCATGTTTAGAGAATAATTGACATGAAATTTAATTTTGATGATATATTGAAGACATTTTTTACGCATTCCTTTGAGTAACATATCTTTTCATTTAATATCATCCGTCTTCTTTTAATTAATTTAAATTATGTTGGGAAAGGAAACACACTTTGTTTGTTTAACCGTCTGTTGAATAACAATTCTTTATCTTAAAAAAATCTAATAATCTTTATGCTTTCAGCGTCCATCACAGAATTCACGTGCCGCAAAAAATCAAGACAATTTACCACACGAAAATAATCAAAGTCCCCGAACACCATCATCATTTTCACGAGAAGGAAAAAATCATTATTGAAAAAGAGCCACCCAAAGAGGACCATCATTCAATTGTGATTCAAGATGATGATGATGATCACGAAGACGAAGTCTGGTCGGAGTCGGAAAATTCTGCGTTCTACAAGAAGAAGAGAAATGCCCATCATTCCGTCCATGAAACTAAGCGCCCAATCAAGAAAAGGAGAATAGTTCAACGATATCCATATAAATTTCATAGGCCTTAAGCAGGCCTTTTAGTTTGCAATGTTGGTAGTTTAGGAAAATATTTATTTATAAATAATTGATATTTGGACTGTAACAAAGCTTGAAAGGTGCTTTGAAAAATCAGCAGAAAATATGAGTGAAAACCAGGACGTTTTGTAAATAGTAATTTAAAATTTTTGTAATTTTATTAAATAAACTTTTAGGAACCAAGCATGAATAGGAATTATTTATGATTTTAACGGGTTTTAATGTTGCGATTCCAAACATTTTTTATTTCACTTAATTGGGACCATTTACTTCCTTGTGTATACTATTTAAAATTCAGTGCTGTTTATTAACACGTATTAAAATATCTATCGCGGCATGCTCCTAGTTGGACATAAAAAATGTTTTTTGGATTTCAGCGCCAAATGTTTAAAGATATAAATATCTCTTCTATTTACAGGGTGGTTTCTATAAATCCTGTTTTAGTTTTGGTCTTGTAGCTGTAACTTTTCTGCTCTTTGATGGATTTTGAGGATCTTGAGCCTATGATGAAGCGAAATCTTCATAGACATGCTAAGACATGACAAGAAGATAGATAAGAGAAGAAAGTTGCATGAATAATGGCTCAAATGAAAATTCACACCGAAATATGTGATTCTAGCAGACTTTCACCTAAAGTTAAGTTCAGATTCAAATATGTCGTTAATTTATACAACTTGACATACGGAATTTTTTTCGCTAATCCAACTTCACCATAAACCCTAGATTTTGAAAATCGGCTGAAGAGAAAAAAATGTATCCCTAAAAGGCCAAAACCTGTTCATTTCTTTGCCACCACTCTGTAATTAAACGGGATGATCGAAAAGTTCGAAAACTTTTTTCGAGCTAAACCTCGTGCAATGCATGAGGTGATGAGATCTAAAAAAACCGTCTTCGTGTCCAACTGAGAACAAGTGGAACTTTCGCCAATTTTGCATTGTTTCATTTACCATTCCGTAGAAACTTTATATAGACCACTAATTTTTTTGAAAAGTACACGCGCTAACAGAAAAAGGATTGCACTAAATAACGCTTCGGACAGAAATGAACTCGCTCTGATGGATCAGAATTTATCCGGATCCCAAATTTATCGAAATTGGTCAGTGTAACGTCTATTTTGTTTAGCACAGCTTTAGGCAAGTAAGATCAACTGATTAAATCAATTTTGTAAACTATTTCTAATAAAACACGCAATTTGTTCAATTGCAGCGTATATAAAATCATCATAAGTAATAAAATAAAATATGAACAAAAAGGCTAAATAGCCATTAGAATAAGATAGCTATGTAAGCCATAGCACAGACAATAAATTCGACTAATTAGGAAATGTATGTCGGATCTACGCCCAAAGCGAATTCAGTAATATTGGGAAAAATCGGTTGCATTTGAACCTACAGTTGCGTAATTATGCAGCAATAAAACAATATCAATACGGTTTGCTGCACTTTTTGCGTAATTGGAGCGACTGGTTCAAGATTACGTTTCAAGTTTGCGAAAACATAATAACTTCTTTTCTCTTTCCCTTCCGGCACGACATTGAGACTGAGAGTGAAATTGCCACGGTAAACGCCTTTTAAATTACTTTGTAGTTTTGCTAAATGTTTGTTTAATGCGTGAATTGAGTTCTGAAAATTATTAATTGCTCAGTTAATCGGGTGTTTGCTTGATGCAAATATATACAGATATAACTTTATGTTCGAATTACATTTTTAGTCAATTACATATACCAAATAACGCTTATAAAAGGAGGCATGTTCGACATTTGATTTTTTCTTATTTGCGTAACATTCTTTGGTTGACTGAACCATCTCGCTATGGAAGGATATCATAAGGAGTCGCACTCTCCTACTGCCAATTAAGCAACAAATGGGAGCTTATTAAATTTGTAAGGACTCTATGGTTTAACTATAGAGTAGAAGTTTGTTATGAGGTGATTTAAATATGATATTGGCACCACCAGAAATTATTTGTTGACCACAAGGGTCTTGCGGATAGCAAATCTCTCGTGTAAAAGAAAATGCTCTTGTCTAGCTTGTGCTGTGCATGAAGTCAATTTCAAGCAGTGGCGGAACTTCCGTCGCTTGTACCGTAATATACTATTTTCACCACGAACACCTGAAGCTATTTGAGGGTTATTCATTTTAAATATTTATTCTCGGTCAGGTACTCCTTAATATGGAGTGGGTTTTGAGCCGCAAATTTTTGCCGAAAAGAAAATCTTTGGAAGAAGAAAACGGATCGCAGGAAAAAGAACCTTTGTAACTTCTTTTTTTTACTGGAAGATGGTTGCAAGAAAAAAAAATGTGCTTGTGGAGATAATAAATAATAAGACGGTCGTTTTTGGAGACCCTCCACACTCTTTACGTTGTCACGAGCCCAATAATGAGCCGATTTTGAAATTTCAAGAAGGCAAATAAACCAAAAATCACTTGAAACTTCACGTCTCAAAACTAATCAAATTAAAGCCTGAATTTCAAATTTCAAAGAACTGGACAAACTAAAAGTTTCGAACTTTCGGCTGTAGGTATCAGATATGGCAAGTTTTTATAACCGCCAAACTACAGCGCCGATATTACCAGGGAAGAGCGTTTTTTTTAAACCGTCTACATTGTTCCACACAAAACTGGCCCAGATCTTATATTCTAGAACTCTCAATCTTCCCTAAAATCGAGTCTTCTCGAATTTTCAATTTTTTTTTTCATTTTCAATCAAATTCGGGCCTTTTGAACGCATGTTTCATATGAAACAAGTTCGAAAAGCAGCGCTAACTACGGGCGGAATAATCCGGGAATGGTTGTTTTTTGAAACCGTCCGCACTCTTCACTTTAAAGATTACGCAATTAATCGACGCATTTTAAATTTGAACAACTCAAAAAAAAGTGACAGTTTCGGGCTTCGAATGCAGTGTTCGGCTGTTGAAAGTATGTAAAGATGTGGAAATTCAAGTCGGATTAATCCGGAAATATTTGTTTCTTAAAACCTTTCCTTGAAGCGAGTCTAATTAACAGCAGTTTCTCTGGCAGAACTTAAAAAAACTGAAGAAAGAGCACTGGTGCAGCTTTCGAACGCTTCGAGCTTTCGGAAACCGCAAGTTTCTTACAACTCCTGAACTATAGCCGGATTTATTCCGGAAAGTTTGTTTTTTGTCTCTCTCCATACTCCTCATATCGGCACAAGCGCAACTATAGGACGATTTTGAAAGTTTGTATCCAGCTCAGTAGCCAGCAGCTCTTAAAGACAGTAAAACGTGGTAAAACTACAGTCGGATAACTGCGGTAAGGTCGGTTTTCTAAACTTTTTTCTAAAAAAGCTGGAAAAGGCACATACTTTTGCTTTTCGAATGCAGGTTTCTAAACCAGGAAGTTTTCGAAAACAGAGCAGCTACAGCCAGACGTGTTCTGGAAAGTTTGCGATCCTATACACTCCTCACTCTTCAGGGCGCAATTCAGGGTGGAATTTGAAGCTTTCAAAAAATGAAGAAAAGCAAAATATCCAAGTTTCTTGCAGCGTGGATACTACAGCCTAATTTGCAACAGCAAGTTTGTTGTTCGAATAATCTATACTCCTCACCTCAAAACGAGCTCAATTGATGTTCCGGTTCGAAATTATAAAAATACAGGAGAAAGCGAAGGTTTTGAGCTTTAAGATGTCAAAAGTTCATAAAGCCGCAGAAAACATATCCGGATTTGTCCGCTAGAAATTATTTTTTGCTCCTTTTTTCTTCTTCCGAAGGCGGAGCTTCAGGAAGTCGCTGAGACTATGGCAGATTTTTTTTCAAACCATCCATACTATTCACCTAGCAAGAACCCTAGTCAATGGCCGATTTTAAAATTTTGAGTTAGTGAAGGAAGTCTCTGAAACTCATTAAAGCAGCGCAGCCACAGCGATTTTACTGGAAAACGGTGTAGTTTTCTAAAACTGAAGAAAGCTCGGTTGAAGAAGTTTTTGAAACTGTCCACATTGTTCCACGCCCAGATAAGGCCCTGTTTTAAAATTTCAAAAAATCCCAAAAATGCAAAAATTCTGTGCTCTTGTTCTTATAGTTCATATGAAAGAAGTTCGTAAATCAACGGGAACTACGGGCGGATTAATCCGGGAACGTTAGCTTGTTGAAACCCTCCGCACTCTTCACTTTAAAGCGAGCGCCATTAATCGACAACTTTTAAAGATTAATCCGGAAATGTTTGTTTAAAACCTCACCTCGAAACGAGCCAATTAACAGCAGATTTTCAAACATAAAAAAACTGATGAAAGAGTGCAGATTTCAGAAAGAAGCAGGTTTCAGACACCGCAAGTTTCTTAAAATTCCTAAAATACACCCGGATTTATTTCGAGAAATTTGTGTAAACTTTCTAAACTCTCCACATAAGAACCAGCGCAATTATGGGCCGATTTTGAAATTTCTAAGAACTGAAGAAAGCAAATATTATCGACTTTAGAAGCCAGCAACTCTTAGACAGTAAAACTACATCCGGATAAGTTCAGTAAAGTGTTTTTTTGAAACTTTCCACACCCTTCACCACAAGACGAAACGAATGAAGGGCCGAATTTTTAATTTGAAAAACTTTTGAAATTTGAATTTTTTGAAAAAAATTGGAAAACGCACGGACTTTTGCTTTTCGAATACAGGTTTCTAAAACATCGATGTTACAGCCAGATTTGTTCTGGAAAGTTTGCGTTCCGATACACTTCTCACTCTCCACTACAGCCTAATTTACAGCGCAAAGTTTGATGTTCGAATCATCTACACTGCTCATCTCAAAACGAGCTCAATTGAGTTTCATCGTCGATTTTTCAAAAATACAGAAGAAACGAAGGTTTTGAGCCTTAAGATGTCAAAAGTTCCCAAAGCCGCAGAAAGCATAGCCGGATTTGTCTATTTTTTAAACACTCCCGTCTTTTGGCTTGTGAAGACTTCAATTAAGGAATGATTTTGAAAATTAAAAAAATTGCGGGAAAAGAAAATTGCACGTTTTTGAAAGTCGCCTTCCGACAGGGGAGCTTCAAGAAGACATTGAGACTATAGCAGATTTTTTTCGGAAACATCCATCCATACTATTCACATCGCACAAACCCTAGTGAATGGCCAATTTTCAAAGTTTGAAATAGTGAGGATAACGCAGATTGCGGAAACACCGGAAACTCACTAAAACTGCGCAGCTACAGTCAGATTTTACTGAGAAAGCGCGTAGTTTTGAAAAACTGAAGAGCGTTCGGTTCTCCAGTTTTGGAAGGCAGGTTTCAATATAATTGAAGTTTCTTAAGAAAGCAAAGCTACAGACGAATTTATTTACACTGGAAGCTTTCAGAAATCCTCCACACTTTTTACCTCAAAACAAGCCCAATTAAGAGCCGATTTTCCGAAGTGGAAAAAATGCCAAGCTTTGAGCTTTCGTGAAAAAAAGTAAAAGCCTCTCAGAGAAAACCTTCACCAACAGAAATTCTTTCGATGGCGGTCTGAACGCCCGAAAAACGGACCAGTTGCAATCAATGGCCGCAAAGCTCTTTTAATGCGAAATAGGAAACTTCTCATTAATTAACCATTTTCTTGACAATATAGAATGCCATATTAAAATTATTTTATTGCAAATATTATCTCAGTTTTTGGCCTGTTGACACAGTAAAATAGCCGATGCACTTCGAGTAATAATTAAGTTTTCGCAAAAAAACTTAACCAAATGGTCCAGTTGTGAAAGATATTAATTATTTCAAAATTTGATAATTGCAAGCTAAAACGTTTCTAACGTTCGGAAGTTCTAAAATATCAGAAAATGAACACCCACAAGTTGGAAACGAGCTATCCACTATTTATAACCAATAAACTGTGGAAACTTTTCTTAAGTAATCGATTACTTTAATTAATTCTCGATGGTGTTTTGCCTAATATATTCATGTCTTAATATTCAGATGAGTATTACTTCAGTCAAAATGGCCTGTATTACATAAAATTCTCATTCTCAGCTTATTTAATCGAACACAACTAAAGCGGGAAATCGTTTTGGTTCGTCCAATAGGCTCAAACGTTATTGAAATATTCATTATTTCATAAGAGTTCCGTCGTTTACACAAATATTTAGAATTTATGGCATCAATCGTATGTGATTGCCAAATAAAATGTTATTTTAGTTTTATTAGACTTTAACTTATTGACTGATTTAATATTTTTTAATTTATTTTTGTAAAAAGTGCCGTTTCCATACTGTTTTTGAGATGACCATTATCTATTACTAACTTTGTCGATATTAAGCAACAATGTTTGTCTTCACTGGATGGCGTTTAGGAGTTTAACTTATTAACTGAATTTATAGTTTAAAATTTATTTTTTTTTGGTAAAAAATGCAGTTTGCAAAATAGCTCTAGTATCAATATGACTGTTAAATTCACCCATATCTATTTTTTTTTTGGTTCAAACGATCATATGTTCTTTTCCTGCTAGTTTGTAACACGAATTTTTAATTTTCCGTTATCACTAATAGTTGTCATATTGCTTAAACCTCAATATTCATATTCGTTACTCTTTTTTCAATCCTTTTTTTTTTAATAAACGTTGGATCAAGTTATGTAAAATATTAATTATTGCATTAATGTATGCCAACCAAAGAAATACAATCCGATTATAAAACTATGTTGATAATCATCCGGGCATCTGGTTACAGCTGAAATATTGAAAGGTCAGTTCGGGAAGGAGATCTGAAATTTATTCAGAGGAAAGAGAGTTTAAGATAAACGGTTATGTCTTTTTATGTAACTTGGCTTACTTCAGAAAACGCAAAGTCATTGTTGACGAGTATGAAGTTTTTCTCCGATCTGGAATTTTCATAAAACATCTGAAGATGCATTGAGGAATTTTGGAAAGTATTGCAGCGAAGAAAACTTCGAAAATAAACATTTTTAGAAAAAAGTTCAATAAGCTGCTAATGAAACAATCATCTGAAATACATTTTGAAAAACAGTTTTACAGGTTTACACTTAAAAAATAGAGAAAACAATTAAAAAAGGCAAATCGACATGTTTTGACATATACGAGGTAGATTTTAAGAAATTATTTTAAAATGCCCAAATAGTCAGTCGGATAAAAAATTTAGTTAGCAAGAAAGTGCGAAAAACAGTTTTCTCCGCATAACTTCAGGACCGTCGATGTTTTTAAAACAAAATTATACCTTTTTTTAAATATTTGAAATACCTACAATATGAGACAAAAAATAAATTCAAATCCGTTCATTTGTTTACTCAAAAAACGAAAACTGATTTTTTTTAAATTATAATTGATTTAGTTTTGCTTCAAAAAATATCACTGTAACTTTTTTTGAAGGCCTTTGTAATAATAAGTGGTATAAACGTTGGCTTAAAATATTCAATCCTTTTTGTTCATTGCCTTTTGTTATGTTGTCCATTTGTTCTTGAGACGTCGGAGAGACTTCTTTGAGGCTGTATTTTACGCGTAAAGAGTTATACCACAACGTACAATAAAGGGCAATTTCTTTGCTAAATGGTCAGTTATTTAAACATTAAGTTGAAAATCAGGAATCTGTGTGGGCCGGGCTCGCAGTTGCCCCGCGGCTGAAGTTTGGCGCGGTTGAATTTTCAACTTAATGTTTAAACAATTTACCATTTATTAATCAACTTTTCGTTTACTGTAAGCTGTAGTATAACTCTTTACGAGTAAAATATAGCTTTAGAGCAGTCGCTCCGACGTCTCAAAAAAAACTTATTTAGAATCTAGCAAGAGCATTTTTTTAACAACAAATAGGAATGAACGAAAAATCAATATTTTAAGCTAAAATTTATACCACTTACTTAAAGTATACAAAGACCTTCCTACAGTATACAGTTATAGTACGATTTTTTTAAACAAAATTAAAGTAATTATAGATAATTGATAAAAACCCTTAAATCGGCGTTTTTTTATTTCGGTTTTTCGAGTAAACAAATGAACGGATTTTAATTTACTTTGTCTCATCTTGTAGGTATTTATAATACTTGAAAAGAATTATAAAACTGTTTTTCAATGGCATGAAATGTTCCAAGGTTGTGCGCAAAAAAACGGTTTTTTGCACTTTCTTTAATTATTTAAACAATCTTCCACAGCCGAAAATCGGGCTCAAACTATTGTCCCACTATTTTGACATCTTTCCGAACCACTTGCAATAATCTTCTACCTTCATCTATTTATTACCCGAAACAGGCCTTTTAAAGTCTTATCTGACTGGAATAAAATTGGAACAAAATGCTCCAAATGAACTTAACTTAACCGCTTAAATTAAATGATAAATATTGATTTCGTTTCCCACAGTTTCCTAGAATGTGACTAGAAATAAGAAAAAAACAGTACAAATTAATCTCAAAATTTGAGTTCAATTGCTATAATAATAAATCTCTATGCAATAAAACTGTTTTTCGACATATTGCTTTTTTAAGCAAAACTGCAATTTGCAACAATGGCGGCTTCCTGATGTGCAAAAATTACAGCATTTTACTCACCATTGCACAATCGTAAACAAAGAATAAAGCAAATTTAAAAATAATGCATATTAATCGAACCTAATTAATGTCCATTAAACAAACACATCGCCTAATAGCTAGTGTCTTTTCCCGTGCTTGGACTACCGATGGCGTTCCGTCAAGTAAAATTGCCACATTTGGACTCTCACTTTACAACACACACACAAACCAATCTGACGAAAATGTATTTTTGTTCGGGTAAGTTAAAAAGGAATTTTCGGCTTTATGTAATACCTGATACCAGTTTGGACTCATAATGCAGCTAATTCGGTAGGGGAAAATGCTGCCACTTCATATATAAACTGAATCATTTCGGCATGTTCGGTATCACTTTCTGGTGTTCTAGTGACCTGGTTAATTAGATTATCAACGACATTATCATGATCTCCATTCGGGTTTTCGTAAGTTTTTTATTTTGGTTACTTTTTTATTTAGTGAAGATTTGTCTAATCAATTTTGACAAAGTTTCAGCAGCCGTTTAAAAACAATCTTCTGATTTTTAGGTCGTGATGCTATCGGTCATCCTTGGTTTGGCATGTGCAGCACCAGGATATTCATCCCAGTAAGTTATTAATTATTAATAAATAATTAAAAATATAGGTTTAACACCCAATTTATTTATCGCCAGTTTTAATTTTACCGTACTGTAGTTTCTGAAGTTAATTTTCATATCTACTAGTTATGTGTATTTCTGTTATTTTTATTTTCACTCAAAGACAAAAGTTCTAATTTATCATATTTAACTCAACAATTACTCATTGAGTTCAAACATTGTGTTGTTCATTTTACACATTAGTGACTATTTTCATGAAAATATTTCGAAATTTCTGATAATACCTATTCCTCCTTCCAAAATTTTCAAAATCTTTCTTTTCGGTCTTTTCATCTAGTTTTTCCCAATCAGACAAATGAATTTCTCAACCTTACAATTTATAATTATTTATTATTACTTGCTCTTTAGGATGAATGCATTTGAAACCCTATATGATTTTCTTTACAGTAAACACGTGAAGATTATTGTGCCATCATACCATCATACGGTCCATCATCATCACATTGAAAAAGTTCACGTACCAGTGCATGTGCCAGTTCCCGTCGTTAAGAAGATCTTCATTCCGATTGAAACCCATCACAGTCATCATGATATTCATGAAGAGGTCCATGGAGGTTGGTGGTAATCTAGAAGAAGCGCCAGCTTATCTGTACAAAGAACATCCAAATAAGTAAGTAAATTCAGCTGCGCTCTCTTGAAGAAGAATTTAATAAAATAACTTTAAAGTGAGCTGTAACTTCACACAACAGTTACCGTTACTTCACTTGAAAAATGTGCTAATTTACCAGCGGAATAGTAAAGTTTCCATTCAAAAAAAATCCTTCCTTTACAAAACTGTAAAACCTTCAAGATTTTGCCGCAGCTAAGCTGCAGCTAGAACTAAAATCTGTAAACGGGTGAAAACATGGTAGTTAAATCGTAATAACATTAACATAACATAACACATACATTATTTTGTTATTTATTTACTAAACTTTAATGCTTTCAGGTGTTTTAGCAGCCAACTTTTGGAAGGAAAGTGCAAGATGTCTCTACTGCTGTAGCTGTAAGTCTATGTAGTTCCCTCCATCTGTGTCCTGCTTATTACCAGTTAACGTTGCCTAGTTTTAAATGTCAATTGTTAGTCTCTAATTTTTAAGTAAAAAAACAATTCTATACTGTTAAATATTGTTTTACTTTCCTTAATTTCACATTTTTGATAGATGTAAGATGTTTTCACATTGACATAAAACATAATTTTTTAGAAGCTCTATATAAAAATCGCTGAACTTTTAAGGCTTGCAGCATTTTGCAAAACTCGTAATTTTATTCTTTTTGGTGAAACATGTTTAGGTGCTTGGCTTTATCGGCCAATAAAAAACGGCAGAAAATAAAACGTTATTTTTCTTCGATCATGCTGAAGGCTCTAAAAGACAAAGATAACAGTAAAACAGTAAGGACCAAAACATAATTTACAAACAAACCAATTAATAATAAAAATCATTACAAAGTCATAAGTATAAAACGATTCAATAAGCGATTGCCAAAAAACGCAAAGGAACCAGTAAAATCTAAAATCGAATATAAGATATACAGGGCAAAACAATATTATTTAAAAGCAAATTTGAAAACATTATATAACAAATAAATCAGAGAGTAATCATCTATCAAAGAGTAATATTTGATATCTTTATTGTTTCAATGGAATATTTAAATTGTTCCTTTTATACCGCTTGTTATTTAGAAAATCGCTAGAGTTACATTAATTAATTACATAATCAACGTCGGTTTTATGTTGTATTTGCCTCAAAATTGTTAGTCAAAATGTTCAGCGTTGCAAAATAACAAATACATATATCTATACTTACACATTTTAAAAAATTACGCAATGGTTGTGAATGATAGAAAAAAAGGATTTTTTTTATGAAAGACGACAAAAATTACTTTCTCAATAACGGAAAATATAAAATGAGTTTATTATAAATAAAAATTTAATTTTAATTTCAACTTTAAAGGCGTGATTTCAAGCAGCGTAATGAGCTCCTTAAAGAGAGTTTTAAAGATCATTCGGGGTATTGTGTTGATTACTGAGTTGAAAATTGGTGAATTATATGAAATAAGAGTATTACTATAACAGAAATCCATGAAAATTAATTAAAAATTGTAGAACAATTAATAAGGATGAACAAAAAAATATGCGTAGGTAGGTAATTGAGTGGAATTTTCGTCACAAAAATTTGGCTAGTTAATGAACGATTAGAGGGTTAATTATTGAAGGACGAGTGCACCCCCTTGTGCGGGCTTTATGTCGACTAATGATAATTTTTCTAATTTAATAGACAATTTAAGAAAATAAATACTTTGTGTGATGGAAAACACGCACGGGAATGGCAGGCATATTATGAATATAATGCTGTTATTATAATTAAGTGGGCCCGATTTGGATTATTGAAAATTCTTTCTAAAGTGAGTGATTTTGTCTAAAAATCGTACTTTGCAACATTGAAATCGGTTGAGAAACTTGAAAGTCATAAAAGTTTGAAGGTTGAAAAGGCGATTTTTCAAGACAAATGTAATCGATCAATGTTTCCTTTGTAGATTTAATTTGTAATTTTTTTTTGAAGAAAACAGTATTTTGTCTGTAGAAATTTTCTACATAACCCTTAATATTGCGCCGATTTAAAATGTATTATTCACACATTCACTATATGTAAGAAAACTTGTTTGAAGTTTGAGTTTGAAAGGAAGACTTTAAATATTGGCAAGCGTAAAACTCTCAAACTTCCACTCTTTACCCTGTAACTCGGTCAGTTATCAAAATTTTTCACAAATTCTAAAAGTCTTGAAATCCCCATAGAGTTTGGGTAAAAAGTTGTTTCAGAGCCGTTCAGGAATGTTCATTTTGGTCACCGTTTCAGCTCCAGGGTTCAAATTTTCAAAGATCTGAAGCGCCGGTTGTTCTTGTTCTCAAGTTTGGCGGCGTACCAAAATTTTTTAACCCCAAAATGTATTTTTAGGAAAAACTAAATGGTTGACAAAAAATTTTGCAATAAATTTTTTGTTCAAGAAATTTCGAAATTTTGGAAAATTGAAAATGTGCAAATTATTCACTTAAGAGTAAAATTTGGAGCAAATTGCCACTTTTCATTGCATCGTTTTCGTTTATTGTTTAAAGTGCTACTCCATGACCCCCCCTGACTTGAAAGCTGATTCCGTCCTTTCGTGCACAATGATAAAAAAAAATAATTATAAAAATTAATGTTAAACGTGGAAATTTCATCAAATTATTTTAACTTACTTCTCCGTGTTACGAAATTTACTATAGATATTTTTTACAGCTTTTACCTTAATTTTTTTCAGTTTAATGCCCAACTCAATACAAAGTAACTTATGACAGCAAGTAACAAAAATCTTATCGCCTCAACTACGAAACTTGATGTATAACTGATTTTGTTGGACTGTACACATTGAAAAAAACCAAATTATACGATAGGAGTAAAATAATTAAATTTGTAATTATTTCAAAAATTAAAATTTACACTTTATAAATAGCACGCTTTTTGCCCAATGTATATTCTTGTGCCTGGAATTCCACGAAGAAATGTAAAAGAGAAAGCAAAAACAATAAAACTGGCGCATTCGGCAATTTTTTTTAATAACATTTGAGAACAGGCGAATGTTTTGTTTAACAATTAGTGAACGAATAAGAAAATGTCCACCTAAATATCACTATCTCCTATTTAATCGTAAATTTCAGCAACATTGTTTGATGAATTGTAAATGATATTGTATTTAAAATTAATTTATATTATTAACATTTTCTTATCTACAGTGAACTAAAAATGAATGATGGGAAACTTTCCTGAATGTTTCGCACATTTAAGAAAATTATCTCAAGCGAACTGTAGCATTATTAAGCTGACTTAAAGCCTTAATAATTAGCTTTTTGCAGATTACTTAGCTAATATAAAATAAAAACATATACATAGAAAAAATTTATAAAGATCTGCGTAGTATCTTGCTGGAAAGCTTAACTACATATTTAATTTTCCTTCTAGTTCTTATTATTTACGCACTTCGTCCATAGAAAAACACACTCTCAGGCCTTAATTCAAGCGACTCTCATGCGTCTCTTTCGCATTGATGTGCCGAAAATTTCAACAAATTGGCTGCGTTCAGTGACACACTTTTTGGGTTTTGCACATTTAGAAAATACATTCCATTACGGTTGCACAACAATAGATACAGAAATAGCTTTCCAATAGCAAAATATATTATGGGCAAATATATATGTTTGACAAGAAGACGTACTGAAACGTTTCCGACGAAGTTAACTCATCATTAAAACTAGACAGAAAATAGACATCATTTTCACGTTAAACTAAACTTGCTTTGCAACTTCCTCCATATCAATCAAACAGATTAGAAACGCAAGAAAACCCGTCAGGAAACAATGCTTCATCTTTCAACTACGAATTCCACTTGCCACTGTAGGCATCTTCTATCTAAGGAAAGTGAAACTGAAGCCGAGAAGAAATTTATTGTGGGATGATGAGCCAGCAATAAATGTGGGTAATCGTCGAGATCTTCATGCCAATCCTTACATAATCGAGATTATACAGCACTGCGGATATGTTGCTATTTATGGCTCCGTTTATATAAGAATAATTACACTGTCCAGTAGGAAGAAAAAATATTTTCTAATTAATACTAGAAGGCGATTACTTGAGATCATTTAGTTGTCATAGCGTAGAAGAAGCCACTTTAGAAACTTGCTAAGTAATTAATTGTACTCAACAACAGTTGGACGGAATTATGCCATGAAAAAAATGTTTAACGTACACTCTTCAACAAAATGAAATATTTACCAATAATAATAAGTTCTATAGAAAGGATTCAATTGGCTTTTTAGGAGGTAAAGCTGGTACTTGTAGATTGTTACTTTAGCTGGAGAAAATGGTTTAAAGCAGCTCGTTTCAACATGTTTCAAATCTACATTAATGAGAACTTTTCAGTGTTCATGTCCTAGTGAACATATAAAATCTGTCAACAATACAGCAAACTAAATATCATTGATAATAAAATCCATTTCAAGCTCAAGTTGGCAGCTCTGTGCACATTTTTTAAAACATTCGAAATAATTTGGGAAGCAAATTGAAAGATTTTGCAACTTGAGATTTCAGGCTTCATTTGGTTTTAAATCAGTTAAGCTGACATTTTTTTTTAGTAGGTAGGCGTAAGCTTCAAGCAATTCCTCGACAGGGACATCTCATTGATCACCAGCAATCTGAGGAAATCTGCTGAATATGGGAAGTAAAAGTATACAAGATCTAAAATATGAAATGCATATGTTAGTAAATACTGTTTTCGAATTATGTAATTACTATTATTATAAAGTAAATATTCGATTTCAGTTGAAAAACATACGCTCGTAGGTGTTGACGAGTAGCTATTCAGGTAGACCAAGCAACCGATCTAAATGGAAACATTATGCAATGAAAGGAAAAAAATCTCGAGTAGAATTAACATTATTATTTAATTTAAAACAAGGAAGGTTATTAAAAAGCAAATCAAAACATCAATAAACTTAACCCATTTTATCGAGGAATTTGATACGCTTGAGTAATGCTCACGCAACGTTTAACACAAATGATAGTAAAAGTGTGAAGTAAATACAAATAGACAAATCGGAATTTAACAGGCCATAACAACGAGGACGAAACGATTGCTTCTGCACAAGAAATGGCTAGACTGTAAATGAGTTTTACTAGACCGTTAAAATGTTTGGTCTACCATACAGAATCCCTATGAAGTTCATTAATTTGGAGAGTTTTCCAAATACTTACAATATTTTATCGTTTCGTTTTCTGTTTGTTAAATTCCATTCCGTGCATAGTTTTTACTTAAGTTTACTTGCACACTTCGTGTTTAAATAAACAAATTTGATTATAAAAAAATATTAAAAACTGATTTTCTGAATAATAAATGGCAAATTTGCTGAAACAAATAACAAAGAAAAATTGACGACATAATAAATATCTTTAAATATTTGCTCAAGACGCCCTTCAATGACAAAAGCTGACAAAAAGGTAACAATTTGGATGATTTATTGTTTCAGAAGTTGATACCTACTGGGAGTTTTGTAGTATGTATTTGGTATGGCGATTTCTCGGGTATTTCTAGGAT